TGATGTCTATTTGGTCAAAAATTATCAAAACAAAATTTGAACAAATTTTTGTGGGGGAAAAAAATATGGGTTTAATAAGGGTTAATATGCAATGTTACCAGATATACCTATATATACACAAGCTAAGAAGCCACACCTACCCAGTGATTGCTGAGATTGCAAAGGATTTGTATACACTCCCACCATGCCATACGCTGTAATATTCAATTACAATTCTGGTCCCCCCATAACTCAGGCTTTCACACATTATTATATAGGTCAAGTATAATTATACCCTCACATTTGATTTTTTCAGATGAAAGTCCATTCGTTGATGGTGATTAATGGTGGATGGAAACCAGTTTCCCCGCTTTCAGTAACATATATTTGAACCATGGTTATATACAGTTGTATAGTAACCATGGTAAAGCGGGACTACAGTTGAAAATCGGTATTCATACATACATAATACTGTGGCATATCATTAGAGCAGGTCATCCCAGGTAATAATAATAGCCTGACAAAAGTAAGCCTGGTGTCAGTCAGCTACTCAAACTTACAAATGGTAACCTGTGTGTTGTACCACGTCATACTAATAGTACTAGTGTGGATTTCTCTGGATGAAGACATAATATGATTTAATTGGAATTCACCTGACCAGCTAAGCAGGTTCCATGAGCTTCATTCAGCAATGTCTCCAGTACTCATAAAATGATTGTATTTTTAATATTCAAGCAAAGTGCTACTGTAAAAGGATTAATTATTCACTGGCTTTTAATTTTGCTTATTTCGCTGACAAATGTGCTAAATTAAAACTCAGTGAACATGTAAAATTTAGCATAGAATACATTATCTAAATGATAAACCTACTGAATATGCCTGAAATGGTAAATCAGCAAAATTTAAACCTAGTGAAAATTAGTCATTTTACAGTAGTAAACGTCAACTTGAGGCTATTACTTATCATTTACTGTCAGTATTAATTTTATTTTATTTTTGCTTGCTACTGCAACTGATTTCTGAGAATTAATTATATTTAATTTTAAAGTCACATTAATTCCCACATTGTGTTATATGCAGAAAACCTTACACAACTGATTATTGTGATACCATGAAAAATGATAAAATTGGTTGTTATGGCAACAAGTCCTGAAATATTTAACCATTAAAGCTAGCTGCACTGAAGGTTGTGATCTCTGTCATCAAATCAATGCTTCTCAGTGTGCATACATGCATCAAATGCCACCACTACTGGTTTTATTTATGTAATTTACTTTTCCTTGAGATGTGGTGTACTTCACTTTCACATTGTGTGTAAAACATAACCAAGGATAGTAAATAATTTACATATGAAAAGTATTTACCAATGCAGGTTGACATTTTAATTGGTTACATTGGTTTTATGTTACCCAAAGTAATACAGGGGCAGTCTCGAAACAGATTATTTGCATATTCATGAGTTAAAGCCGGATCAAACTATTTACAGGGTATTAAAATCGCAAGTATGACAAGTACATTGTTCAAGTTAGATTTGAAGGAAAAATACTAGAAACGCTGGCAAACCAGCAACTACCAAAAAATAACATGGAAACTGAAACAGAGATGCAGCAATTAACAAGTGTGTGCGATTGTGATGTCATAGTCACGTGACAATATGACTGATATGCTGTCAAAAAAAACAAAAAGTTTGGGGAAATTATTATTAAACCATTCGGAGCACAGTGTCAGATAATGTCCCAGACAGTGATTCAGATTTGGACCAATAATGTTTTACTGTGTACTTTGTTGTAATCAAAATACACACCAGACTCTGGAGTTGCTTTCTATGGGCATCATTTTCAATTTTTAAAGCAATTTTTCGAAAAAAAATAAATAAATCAACTACCATTATTTATATTCTTGTGTTGCCACTGCCTCCAAGCCTTTTTTGATCATTCCATATTTGCCAGGTTAGTTGCATTGATTGTGCACCCAAAGCAGAAATTGAAACAGGAATACTGTAATCAAAGCAACAAATATATTGGTAGATATATGGCGCAATATATCGGGTCTCGATCATTTTATGTTACAAATGCTGCAACTTTCTGATTTAATTTGTGTTACTCAGTATTGAAATGGTTTGTATCGAAAAATGAATTGACATGAATTTTGTTGTTTTAAATAACCAAATTTTTTAATGAAACATTGCTTTCAATGTTTTTGCTTTTTAATCTAGTAAGTACACTTCAAAGCCATTCCACTAAATAATCATACAATAAATTGAAATACTTAGTCAACTGAAATGGGCCAAGCTTGAAACCTAATGTGTCTAACTTTCTTCATTTTATCACAATTTTTAGTTAAACACTGTTGGATACTATAATGTATTATTTAACAAACCATTATTGAGACCATTTTTATTGTATACAATTCACTAGTAGCAGGTAATTTTCTTAGTTTTAACAACTTTACTTTTTTCATCCATATTACTTTGGCTAGTAAGTTCTTGATCTATTTGCTTTTACCACACACCTAGAGTATATTTATCCATTATTCCCTATATTGTATAGCAACCCTGATATTTGTTTGTTTTTTATCCATTTTTAATAGTTTGTTGTTTAATAAAGGGGGTTTTACATCTCCCCGAAACATCATGAAATGAACCATTGTTTGAAGTCAGAGACGTTTTGAGCTTTGTGTGTTATATACAACTACTTTTATACAATTCATTTAAACAATTATCATCATATGCTCTTTCATTGCCATTTCATTATTTGATTCATATTCATGTTTATTTTTATTTTTTTCTTATTTTCATATGTTGCTATATGAAATCTAATTTGTCAAATAAAGTGAAGATTTATAGAAAAATTAGCATTCATGAAATGTGCGATTGTATTAGAAAGTTTAATATATGTACATTTCTGATTCGATTCTGATAGCTCAGATTGTTCTGCACTGTTCTCTAATTCTTTGATCACCTTTTACACTAATCTTGTGGGTCTTTTAATCGTTGACTGGTTGATTCTTTGACAATGAAAGATTTTGTCATCAACATGGTAAGTTTTGGAGAAAACCAAAAGTATGTCTGATTACCAGCTGTATGTAATGACACCATATGCTGCACGAGTTCTACACAGCCTCAGTGCACATACTGTA